ATTTATTAACAAAGCGTTTCACCGAGAACGTCTGCTAACCTGAGGAAACCAAAGAGAACAGATGCTCTCGGCGAAACACGTCATTAATAAATTTTCCACTTTGTGTCATCATCTTACAAGATTACAAAAACTTAACCAAACAGAACACAATATTATTTACCTTATATAAAGATTTATTATTTACCATTTTATAAAGAAATAAATTTGAAAGATATATTTTTATTCAAAAATTTATTTAAAAAGATGACAAAATTATCAAAATATATAATTATCATAATATGTAAACCAACTACAATGCAATATTTATTATTTAGGTTGGAAATGGTATGATAATATTTATAACAGGAACAATATACAAGATTCGCCAGCAGTATGTAGTAAGTAATCAACTGTTAGTGGTGAGCTAGAAATGAATCAAGGTGAATCCAAATGACTACACCATACAGTATATTCTACTATATTTATACGGATTGAGACATACCCATTATAGTCCATATGTATGGTATAACAGTTTGAAATATCCAAAGTAGCTGTGAATGTGTTAAATTACCAAAGATTAAGACACAAGTTAAAATGGCTCTTTAAGATTTAAAATATGAAACTTAACTGAACAGCTAGAAATTTGTTGTGAAATAATATGAGTTAATAATTTATTGTGAAAATTACAAAACCATTTTGGTCAAAATCATCTGTAAAAAAAATAAAGATCAAATGTCATTGCGAAAAAATTAATAGGTTTTTAGAATATAAAATGGGTAAAAAAAAACAAAAAAAACAATCACATTCAGACAAGTAATTAACTCTACCAAGGTCTTCAATTGACATGCTGACATTTTACAAAGGTTACGCTTGACTGGTTGCAGTTAAAATAGGTTTAGCTTGACTCTGCCTTCTTCACCAAACAAATTCTCCAACCTACTTTTAATATTTCCATACTGAATACAAAAAAAAAAATACAATAAAGTCTGGTTTGAGAGTAACATTACTAGGCATTATAATCTTTATTTTAATATGCATGATTTTGTACCTAATGACCAACCTACAATAAGCATTGTGCTTTTGCATGCCTCCTATTCAATATATTGATTCTCTTGTTACAATATTGATTCTTTTGTTTTTTTCAATATTAAAAGCCATATCCCTTCATCCAAATTCTTTAAGTAGAAGGGAAAACAATAGTTATAATCAAATCCCTTTCCACACTAAATTAAACAAAAGCTTAGAAAGGAAACTGCGGAGCAGGTACCCACAGTCAAATGCAAAATAAGTAACAGAACTGTCCAACAAACAGAATTGACAAAGTTTGCAATAAGCAATAATAAGAAAAAGAACAGGGAAAAAAGAATATAAAGCAAGCAAACAGTATATGCATGGCAAAGCAACAGTAATATGGCAAAAAGTTCACAAACTAAGAATTGGAGTTGAAACACAAGAGCAAGTTTGGACAAGCGAACATAGCATTCTGACTTCAAGACAAGACAGATTAGGACTGAGTCAGATGAAACCAAGAAACAGACTATTTTATTGGCTGGGAAAAAATCCTAGCATGCATTTTTATGCTTTTGCCTACAAAATAGGGAGGGAAAGTGTTTAGCAATTATTCCTAGAGAGTGAAAACAACAAAAACCGATAGAAAGAGTGATAAACAGTTGATAGGTTTCTCAAGTCCGTTTTTAGAAAGAGATTTTATAAATATCCACCAACTGTTTGGTTAATGAATTTCAGATGTTTTTTGTATGGAAACGGCTATTCTCACCATTACTGTGACAATAATAATTTTTATTTTTTGTTTTTTTCAAAGCAAGGTTCAGCCTTTACCGGGAGACTACTCGAGATAGAGGGTTATGTTAGAAGGCAGTTTGTACAGATAAGAGAGGAAGGTAACGGTTAACCCCAGACTTGAACAGTTTAAGATTGCAGTGATTGGGGAAGCAAACTCTTGGGAGTTTGTTCCACAAAGCAGTGGTTTATGGGAAGAAGCCATTTCAGTGGAGCGTAATTCTTATTGATGGAATATGGAAAGAATCTGAGTGGTTTGATACAATGTAAGTGGCATGGCAGGTCCTTGTCATGAAGGTTAAGACTGGCAGAACCAAGGAATGTAGTTTAACTGAGCATTTTCCTTTAAAGTAGGGATAGAACAGTGAGATGCTTGCCACATCCCACCTGTGAGAGAGAAGTTGGAGGGTGGAAAATAAATCGTCACCTACAAGCACTCAGAGACGCTTTTGGACTGTATCAAGGCTGGAAAGTGAAGTCTGTGCAACTCCCACCCAAATAAAACAACTTTCATATTATTTAAATCTATAAATTACTTTGTATTTTGTTACTTCATAGCAAAGATACGCCATGTTAGTTCTTCTGCACTTACAGCATTTGCAGCAAGATTGTTTAATGAAAGTGTAAATGAGGAAGAGCTCGTATTTCAATATAATTATTCGTAACATTTTAGATCTTACTCGACAGATAAAAAATATCTTTTTACTGTCTATGTTGTTTCTTTTTTCTTCCATACTCTTTCCATTTCTTCCTTTCTTTTCTGGAGAATGAGGTCATTTTTCTTTTTCTCAGTAAACACAGTAATGAGTTTATGGGCGGACATTTTAAACCTGGAATAGAAATATCTTACCTCAGCAGAGATAAAGTAGTTACCTTAAATAAAGTGTTACCTTAGAAATTATTTTTTTTTTAAATTTTTGCTTCTTGAATCTGTATTTTCAATTCCAATAACATTGCAAAACATTCAAAGATAAAACTGCAAAGTTATTAGTCCTGACCTGGCATCTTGGCTTCAATCATTTTCCCACTTCTGTAATATAACTTCCCTGTGCCTTTTTGTTGTGTTGTGGCATAATAGTAAAAATAAGAAAATCAAGTCGAAGTTGGTTTAAAGAACAAGTGTATTTAACATCACAGATACAAAGGTAGGAAATGGATACTACTCAGCTAGGCAGTTGTAGTACTGTTGCTGCTTACACCGGGTAGGTATTACTGGCACTATATATAGTGAGAACCGGTGTAATTCCCTTGTGTTAGAGGCCAGTGCAACACTTTTTTATAAATATTTTCATGGTAACTTTCCTGATGAGCTTTCTTCTTTGGTACCACTACGTCAAAAATTTAAGCACAGTACTAGGTTGGCAACTAGGTCTCTTAATTTTAAAGTTGAAATTGTGTGATTGAACCATAAGTTCTATGCTAATAGTTTCTTCCTTCACTCTTTTCACTTGTGAAACTCTCATCTGTTTTTTTGGTTTGCTGTCAACTATGATCTTCAAAAATTTAAATGCAATGTCAATTGTCATCTTTTTCCTTGAATCCTGTTCTTTTATTGTCCCTACTTCTCAATAATGTTTTCTCAGTTTCTTTCACACTCTGTAAACCCTTGCATCTTAGTGGCTTTTATCACCTTGCTTGGGGTGAAATGATTAAAAACATTTCACCAAGCTTGGGCCTTTATACCTGCAAAAAATGGAGTGTCAAAAGAATATTTTTTTTCTATTGAAACAGCCATTATTTTAACTACCTTCACTTCTCAGCAATGTTTGTTCTTTTAAAAAGTGACTAGAATTGTAATAAAAGCTAATCATATGATGAAAGTGAATTTATACATTTTCTTTTGTTCTTGAGAATTTACAACAAAAATATTAAACACTATTTATTAGATTGGTTATTTATAAGAAGTCTATATTTGCAACATTCTAGAAACTAATAAAATGCCATATTTACCATTTACCAATTATAAGATTATAATTTTATATTATTATATTATTAAGATTATATTATTTATAAAGAAATAAATTTGAAAACAATAGCGTTTATTATTTTTGTTGCAAATTCTCAAAGAACAAAGAAAATGTACAAACTCACTTTCATCATATGTTTAGGTTTCATTATATTTCTAATCATCACTTTTTAAAACAATAAACATTGCCCAGGAGTGAAGGTAGTTAAAATAATAGTGGTGTCATGGGAAAAACCATTCTTTTCACACTGTTCTTATACAGGACACAAAAGTCCATATATCTAGACTAAACAAACAAGTAAGATAACCAAACCCCGTCCCAAAAGGAAAAATAAATAAAGCAAATAAATAATAAACAAATTAAAAAAAAACTGTACAAATGCATACATAAGCAAAATTAAGTAAATTTAATAATAACAATCAACATCAAATCATGAATAAATACAAAATACCCTAAGGAATCAATAATAAATCATCATAAAAAAAGTTAACAAAAAAACCTATGCAATACCTATAAAATAACAGCAAATAAACCATCCTTGGTGAGAAGTGAAGGTAGTTAAAATAATAGTAGCGTCAAGGGAAAAACTGCCCTTTTGACACATCATTTTTTTGCATGTGCAAAGGTTTGGTTTGGTTTGTTTTACAGCATATCAATCTCTACAGGTTACTTAATGCTAACAAAAATTTTTATTGCTGGTAATATGTTTTTCTTCAAAAATCTATTTCTGGGAATATTTTTCCTTGAAGAAATCTTAGCTGGTCATATTTTTTTCAAAGAATTTAAGTTGTTTGTATAGTTAATAATTTTTTTCAAAAATTATTGCTGATAATAATTTTTTTTCAAAATTATTGCTGATAATAATTTTTCCTTCAAAAATTATTGCTGGTAATAATTTTTTTTTATTACATTTAAACATTTTAATTCTGGCATTAAAACTTATTTTTACACAAGTTTGGGTGTTAACTATTTGCCCATAGCTGGGACCCTAACAGGTGCTACCACCCTATGTCAGCGCGGAGCTGGGAATACTAGCAATTAAGAGGTGGTTCCACACTCCTCAAAACTTCTTGATCAGAGGCCTTGCTGTTGGACGTAGTTTATTGTCTTACCCAGGACACGGATGTAGTTTATTGTTATACCCAGGACGACAGGTGCAATTGTTAAAGATTGCCAAAGTCTGTAACTTTAATGATTATCATAAGTGAATAAGATTCTTTTATGGGCTTAGTTTTGCTAACAAAGACTCTAAAGTTAAGAGAGAGAGAGAGAAAAAATTAGTAAAATTAGAGGGAGTAACAGAAAAAGAAAGAACAGATAGCTACAGACCCCCCCACACACACACTGTTGAAAATAGAGAATAAAGTATAGAAAAGTACAGGAAAAGAATAGATAAAGCAGATAAAGGAGAGTGAGAGTGGGTGGTGGGGGAGGAAAGAATGGATAAAATAAGAGAGAGGAGATGGATATAGAGTTGATGGCAAAAGAATAGAGAAGAAAAAGGAAAAGAGAGGAAAGAATAGACAAGAAAGAAAGAATTGATAAAAGAAAGAAGACTAAAGGAGAGAAAGAGAAAAAGATAGAAAATTGAGAGGAAAGTAGAGATAAAAAAAAGGACTGATAAAATGTAGCGAAGAAGACAAAAAAAATAAAAAGAGAGGAAAAGGTAGAAAAAAGTGGAAAAATAGATGAGAGAGGAGAAAGAATAAATAACAGAGAGAGTGAAAGGACAAATAAAAAAAGAGAAAGTATAGATAAAAGAGAAATTTCTTTTTTTCTTATAATGATGTTCACCGTGCACAAGGCCCAAGAGTCACTCAAGGTAGCAGTTTACAAAGAGATACAGTTTGTTGGAATGTGTAGGGAAGATAACAGTTGATGCTAGATTTGAACAGGTTAACATTCTAGTGATCAGTGAAGCATCCTCTTGGTTGGTTCCACAAGACAGCAGTTCAACAGGAAAAAACTGCTTGAGCTGAACTTGAAAAGTATAAGCCAGAGAGAACTGGGGAAAAGATAGATAAAACATAGATAGCAAGAGGGGAATAGGAATAAAGAAAAAAAAGAGAAAAAATGAAGAGTTCAAGAGAAAAATGGAGAGGAAGAAATGGAGAGAGAAAGTTATCAGCTACTCTAAAGAAATAGGAAGAAAGAGTAAAAATTGTATAGAATAGGTCTCCTCCTGAATAATGCTAGTTCACCTTCATAGTAAATCTTTTGCCAAAGGTTTTGAAACAAGGATGATACTCTCCAAGTTACAAGCAGACAAGTATTGGGATATTTTTTTTAACTACTTAAATATTCAGTCCATGAAAGTCAAGAAAATTTCCCTTCAGGCTTTGTCTTCAAATTTCTTTTTCAAGAGTCAACATTTTCTTTTCTTCTTTACATTTCATTATTATGAATTGTTATTTTACTGTCTATATTTCTGAGATGAGGTATTATGTACACTATTTACATTATTCAGACAATTGTCCTCATCTTTTTCGCCATATTTATTACAATGTTTCGGTCGTTGTACACTTTGGCTTTCTTCAGGTGGTTGGAATGTCGAACTGAACCCTTTATTTCGCTCACTGGGGTAGACTGTTCTAGTTCCACATGTCATGTTTAATGGATGTCAGTTATCAATTATCTCCTGTTAATTCTCCTCAAGGACACATGCCATAGTGAATAAAGGCGTTAGTTAGATCCAGTGACAGGACCCAAACAGTGTGAGCTCAATACCCAGTTAAGGCAGTGGAGAACTTGGAGAGGGAAATTAATATATATATATATATATATATATATATATATATATATAAGAGTCACATTTTAATTGCAACTTTGAAGGGAAACATTATCTCACCTACAATTTAGAACACCATGAATTTTACTAATGTTTGTTTAACAAGTAGAATCCATGTGAAACATGATTAACCAATGAAAATCAAACAACATAAAAGTAAAAATGTCAGAATTTTTTCTTCTTTTTCTCTATATCTCATTCTCTCAAGACGCTTTAATAAAAGTGAAACATGTTAGATTGATAAACTTTTCCTATTTGTTCTTTTTCATATCATTCTGTTGGATTTCAATCTATGTTTGATACAAACTCATATACACACACACACACACATATATATATATATATATATATATATATGTATGTGTGTGTGTGTGTGTGTGTGTGTATATATATATATATATATATATATAGGGTGCAATGGGTAATTTGTCGCCATTTGATATTTTTAATTTCATGCATGCACGTTTTGTTTTTGATTTTGCCGACTGAACAGTACAGTAAGGTTAGTAGAGCACTGCCTATGAGCAAAAGAGGACCATGATGATATTCACTCTGCCAGAATTTTTGGAAATGGCATCCAGTACTGCTTGGCACCAAAAGATCCAACACGAACATTTCAGATTGTTTGGGTGTCAATCTGAGGACAGTGCAGAGGATTCAGAAAGAGTTGGATGCATCTAATGTTGATTATGAAGGTACAACTGCTCAGAAAAACCTCTCTGATCATTCTGACAAGAAAATAATTCCCAAATTTGTTGATAAGGGCCTCAAACTCAACACAGAGGCCTACATTGCCTTGAGCAGATAGTGCTGCACTGGGTCAAGGGAGTGGCTGCTAGCAGACCCTATATCAGGCAACAGGACTCTGCCACACAAGCAGGAGAACACAGTCATGTCTGTCAGACAATTTCTGAGACCACATTACCCCTTACATATGGCCACTTAACTCCCCAAACTGCAACCCCATTGATTATTTTGTGTGTACAGTTAAGCAAGAGAACAAGAAAATTTGTAACACCAAAGATAAACTGAAGATAAGGATTATGGCAGCATTCACCAACTTAAGTAAGGAGACCATCTAAAAGTGTTACAGGATATTCCAAAGTCGTCTGGAGGCCATGGTTGAAGCCAATGGCGAATTTATTGAATAAATTTACCCTTTAATTTTTAAAGATATTTTTGTGCAATTTTGGTAAATATACCTGTTAAAATGAAATGTCAGTGTTATTTTCATTTTTGCATAATTTAGATGACCATTTATCCATTGCAACCTGTCTATATATATATATATATATATATATATATATAATGCTTGATCATTTATATTTTAATGGATATTTTACTTTTATTTTTGTTCTATTTTATCTTATTTTCTTACCCACCCACTATTTTTGCATTTATACCCCAATATTAAATAATTTTAAATGTTGTCTCAATATACAATATAGTGTTGCTCTCATGAGACCCAGAATTTTTTAAAACAACTGTATTGAAAAGTTCATAACTATTAATACTTGACAATTGTACACACATGGAACTCTGAGCCATGCTACTAACATAGGTACTATGTATAGTTATTAATATGTAATTTATAGCTGTTGCACTACTTTGAGCACTGTTTTGAATATACCAAAAATTAAATCAATATTTGCTAATCTGCAGATGAACGGAATCACAGGCATGTATGGTTGCTCACATCTCTTTATTTAATTCATATATATATATATATATATATATATATATATATATATAATAATAGACTCACCTGTCGGTTTCTCATGTATGAGGATCTGACAGCTTATTGATTCAGCTATGAAAGTTTGTGCGATAATCTTAAGTGGCATTTAAGACCCGCTAGTGATTTACAAAGAAGGCCACATATGGAGCAAGTAACATATATATATATATATATATATATATATATATATGAGTGTGCAGGTATGCAGAAAATAGCAAAGAACACGGGTGCATAATCTGAAGTTCCTTAGTATTTTTGTTTTTATTTTTAGGAATCATATTTTTAAACAAAAAAATATTATTTTATATATATATATATATATAGTGTTAAATATAACTGACAAGGAATGTCTATTATTAGTTTTATTATGAGCCTTTCCAAGCATTGTATAATGGCTTTAGTTTCAAGAGAAAATAAGGGCAAAAACTGTCTAATATTTGTATATTTCTTTATTATATTGGTCATTGACATAAGTTTTCTGTTCATATGAGCCATCAGAATGGTTATATGGACATTACAACAGAGATGTTCACTGTCAAAGATAACATCCTGTTTTGTTTACATAGAAGTTTGCTATGCAATGATAATGGTCACAGAATAGCAGACGCAGGTTGTAAATTCATAATGCAGTTCTATGACATCATACATGACCATGTGAGAGAAAGAAATGTTATCTACAGAACCATATATCTAGTTGCATTGTAATATGTTGTGACTGGTTTGAAATGTAATGTTATTGAGTGTGGGTTGCTTTGTTTTAATGTAGATGGCCTCCAATATCTTAAGGTTCTTTTTACTGTATGTATATATGATGCTTGGAACGGCTCATTATAAAACATTCATTGTCTGTTATATTTAACAATGTTTGAATAATGATCTGCTACCCCAATGAACTAAATATATATGTGTGTGTGCAGGTCTAGAACCTTATAAAAATTCTATGTTATATGATGAATTTTTTGGGACTAGTATACTTATCTTTTTTTTCTTTTTATTCCAGTTTGTGGTTTAATGCATTATTTAGCCTGTCACAGATGTCTACTACATCTGGTAGTTCTTGAGTTGTTCCCAGAATATTGTGTACAGTCATTATCCAATTAATTGCATCCTAATTGTTACATTTTAATTTGTCATTTGGGGCATCGTTGGCTCTTTGTTGCATGAACCTATCTCAAAATTTAAGGAGTGAATCATAGGGTATTTTGGAGATATATGACCCAAACAAAAGAAACAGCTTACAGCCATATCACACTGAAACACTGGTTCTCATACAATCACCAAAGTTAAGCAATGTCGAACCAGGTCAGTCTCTAGACGAGTGGCTGCTTGTGAATACCAGGGGCTACATTTGAATGTGCAGGTGGTGTAATCGATAATGATTCAGAATTATTAATTGGAGAGCTGAGTTTCAATTCCCACTGGGTTTATAATATTCATTTAAATGCAAATAGGGGTAGGGAGAAGAGCTGACATAACAGAAGTTTTCCACATTTACATCTACCTATCCACCCAGATGAGCAGATAAAACATTTAATAAAACATCTATACATGATATGCCAAACAGGATACTATTCTTATTTTTCAACATGGCATTTCATTCATTGTGCACTCTTCTCTTGGCTTTCTGAGTGAATCAGGATTGAAATGCAACATAGAGCGATTATTGGGTGGGATTGGTGGAAACCTTGTGTGAAGATCACAGTATATGTCTACACTCCGCTACCTTGGAGGTTTGGACATTTAAATAAAGCCAATAATGTTTGTTAGCATTACCTTGAGAAATTATTACATAAGAATACTTATACTTTATTCTTGGAGAGAAGATGGGTGCCACCAAGTTACCAGAAAGCCTACTGAAAGAATCATGAGGAAGAAGATTCAAAGCAACTTCTTTTATGTGCCGTGTCCAATCAGGACGTAGGTGATTATGGCTCTCCACATCCTTCTGTCCCTTATAGCTCTTAAGAAGTTTCATCTTTTTATTATTTCTTCCAGACCCTGTTCTGCCATCCACTTGCTCAAGCACATTAAGCATATCACACATTGCTTCTCTCTATCCGTATCAGATTTTCCAAACCCTCTTTTCTTATTATGAAATCCAACTGCTTCTTCCTGATTTGTTTGTTTTGTTTTACGACATATCAACCTCAATGAGTCATTTAATGCCGACAACTATTTTTTTTTCTGGTAATATTTTTGTTTTGTCAAAAATCCATTTCTGTTAATGTTTTTCTTTTTTTAACCTCCAAAAATGTATAGCTGGTAATATTATTTTTTCAAAAACGTATAGCTGGTAATATTTTTTTTTTTTTTTCAAAAACATATAGTTGATAATATTATTATTTTTTTCTTTGTAGTTTATTGTCATACCCAGGACACAGAAGTAGTTTATCGTCATACCCAGGATTCTCTTCCTGATTTAAAGTAGAAGTTTATTCTTTGTTTCCATTCTCTTCAAAACATTGTTTTTGCTCACATGTTCAGCCATGGTATCCTTAGCATCCTTCTGTAGAACCATACTTCTGTTGCTTCAAGTCTATTCATCATCATTGAGGAGATTTCCAGATAAACAACACACTCACTTGACTCTCTCCAGGATGCACATGA